GATGGAGGGAGCTGAAACTCCGTGTTGCCCAGCGACAGCCCCAAAACCTGAAAGATCTGGAGAAGACCTGTATGGAAGAGTGGGCCAAAATCCCTGCTGCAATGTGTGCAAACCTGGTCAAGAACTACATGAAACGTCTGACCTCTGTAATTGTAAACAAAGGTTTCGGTACCAAATTTAAAGTTCTATTTTTTTATTTTATCAAATACTTTTTTCATGCAATAAAATGGAAATAAATTATTTAAAAATCTAACTGTGATTTTCTGGAATTTTTTTGTAGATTCTGTCTCTCACAGTTGAGGTGTACCTACGATGAAAATTACAGATCTGTCCATTCTTTGTAAGTGGGAAAACGTGAAAAATCAGCGGTGTATCAAATACTTATTTGCCTCACTGTACGTTCTACTTTGAGTGAGACTTATCATGTACAGTGTGAGACAGCAATATGCAAGCACTGGAAAAGGTTTTGCCATAAACTCCGCTGACTGGCTTTTCTCCTTTATGATTTCGCATGAGGCCACTCAGACCTTAGAACTGCATGAACTGTGCATGAGTTTTGGATTGAGGTGTGTTACCTGTGTGTCAGGTGACCTGTGCATGCACATCTATATCTGTAAATACATTTTAAAGAACTGCACATAGAAAACTGTTTATATACACATTTGAAAATCTTTTATTGTAGATTACTAAACATGTCATGAGACATTATTTTTACACATTTGTAAATCTGGATCTTATTTGTAGACAAACACATTTGTGGCCTTCATGAGACACACAGAAATCAGTTTTTACACATTTGCAATCTTGACTGCATTTGTGGCTAGTTATGAGAGGATTTTACCCCCAGGGGTATTATAGGGGAAAAAAAAACCTAACAAATCCCCCTTGAGCAAGCACTTGGTGACAATGGGGCGAAAAAAAAAAACGACCAGAGCCAGGCTCTTGATGGGCAGCCATCTCCTTGAACTGGTTGGGGTGAGTGGATAGAGGAAAGAAAAAGACCAAGTAACAGCAAACACTCAAACAATGGGCAGATTAGTGTGGCTCGTGACTGCTCATACAGCTTCAGAGCCAGGAATTAGGTTGCAGATCAGGTTAGCTGTGGTGATCTAGCTAGAGTAAAAGTGAGCCATCTTTGTGGCACCGGAACGCCTGAAATGAGCCTAAAGTTAGCAGGATAAGCCACTGATCTCACTTCATGGTACAGGCCGAGCTGCTTGTTTGCAAGTAAGTTCACTGCTTTGCTCCACTATAGTCGATTGGCTGTCGATGCGATACAAAGTATTTACACAATCCTCCACACTTGCCTTTCAAAGCTCAAGTTATTAAAATGTGGTCAAATGATTTCCTTGTCTGAATTAAAGTTATAAGACAACTCTTTTATGTGCATGCTGTACACTGTTCGTGTGCTGCGCTGTGAAGTCGGTTAACTTCCACCTTTTATTTTCTGTCAGGATTATTACAAAAATCTAATTTAACGTTTGTAAATTGATTCTGAATTGAAGAAGGATTGCAGTTCTTATATGAATCGTTTTGGGAAGTAGCTGCACTTTCATTCACTGTGTGGGAGATGGTCCTGAATGATTCCCATAGAAAAGTTGAGGGAAGTAGCTGCCTGCTGCTCATAATGGAGGTAGTGAAGTTAATCAGATGTGCATTAACAAACCCACCAGTTAATTGTAATTCTTTAAGCCTTATTATCTTGCAAAGCTGATGAGTACAATTTGAAAACACTTCTCATAAAATTCATCTTAATGTCCAACATTGTTTTTATGTGTGGAATAGGCTTATTGTTTCCTCTTGTGGCCACTGGGGCAGGGGAAACCCAGCTTCACCAGCATCAACCATCAACTACCAGTGGGTGCTTTCTTTCTTCTGGCCCCAGGAGTCAGAAGTGAGTCCAATACACCTTGGTGCACAAGAATGACACTGCATTTGAAAGCATACTTGGACAAGTGACACAAAGGTGAGATTTATGCATTGTTGGAAGTGTTTTTCAACAGCTTTTCTGTGGGACTTTTTCTCATGCAGTGAATGAGACTCTGAAATTAGGCCACGTTTGTGTATGTGAACTAGACTGTATGCCACTCGTTAAAGTGGTTTATGTGGCATGATGCTGAGCATACTTGTCTTTTGAGAAATATCGGGTTTTACAGTGTAATTTAATGTTAATTTAACTCAAAATTTTGAAACTGATTACATAAAACTTTTTATTTAAAGAACAGTTTTTCTGTAAGTACTTTATACTAGGTATAGGTTTTAACAGTGTAAATCAAATAAAATTAAGTATTTCTATTACCTAATGGGGCAGAGACACACCAAGCTGACATGAAAGAACTGCCAGTGATGAAGGCCGACCTTTGTTTGAGCCAGTTGGGTTGAAAAAGTGACACTTAAACACACTGCACAGACTACAGCCAACTGCAGACTAGCACATATGTTCTGTATCTTCGTGACAGAAGTGGCTGATGGTTGAACCCCAGCTTGGTGTGTCTCAGTCCTAGCATAAACTATTTTATTTCTTTAAGAAATTCTACTGTTTATGTTAACTTAGTGTTTTTAAGTTAAATGAAGCTATACACATAATTGAAATCATTGCCTACTTCTGACTCAAAATTGCATATATTAATGAGCCTAAATTCTTTGTTGAAACTGATTACAAAAATGATTTTAGGTAGCTTTAACTCCATCCATTCATCCATTATCTATACTGCTTATCCTGAAGAGGGTTGCAGGGGGGCCTGGAGCCAACCCCAGCTGACATTGGGCAAGAGGCGGTGTACTTGCCAGTCTATCACAAGGCTGATACTCAGAGAAAGACAACCAAACACACCTACACTCACTCCTAGGGGCAGTTTAGTCACCAGTCAACCTAAGTTGCATTTCTTTTGACTGTGGGAGGAAGTTAGAGAACCCACACAAACACGGGCAGAACATGCACACTACACACAGAAAGGCATTGGTTTGCTTGGGTCTCAAACCTGGAGCCTTCTTCCTATGAGGCAACAGCTCTAACCACTGCATCGTCATGCCGCCCTAGATTTAACTCGAGATCCCAAAATTCACACTGGACTACCCATTTAAAATGCAGGTTAAGACAAACAGTTACTCATTTATTAAGTAACCATAAAATGTTAAACCAACATCAACAATAAAAATAGGTTGGCTAATAGAAATGCATTCCTCAGTAATACTGAAACATTCAACAGTGCCTTGGGAAATGGCCTGAGGAATTTTGTAAACCATCATTTCTAAAAGTTGACCATATGAATAAAATCCTTTATCGTGATATTTATCATAACTCTTTTTTTAACATTTGGTTAATCCACAAATTTTAACTAGGCACTTCATTAAAAATCCCAATATAGGCCTGAACTTTTCTGCTCATTTACTGTATTTATTACATTGTACCTAATTATTAAATGCAGCAATATGACATTGTCCATCTCACTATATGTGATAAGCCAATACATCCGATGGTTGACCACTCTCACAGTATACAGATTTCATATATTTTATCACTAACCTTTTTCACTTACAGAATGTAGAAATACACATCAATCAAACTTTACATTAAACACTAACTGTATAAATAACTGTATATCATAATAGTGCAAAGGCCTAAAGAAATGGCCAGAGCATTGTTCTTTTTTTAGTAGGCAATGACTGTACATTTTTGTGGTACATGTCATTTTATCAATATATTCATTGTGACATAGTCCTTTTTATGTAAAATCAATTAAACTGTTGATGATAGGTGGATGAAAGAAACAGATTGTTAAATCTGTGTTTGGATAATTCAGCAGATTAAATGCCTCCCCAAGACAAGGTACATGACATCTGAGGTAGAATTGTACAAGTCATGATAATTGCTAATATTGCCATAGACATTCTTGCATATTGAGTTACGACATTGCCCATAATGACTGAATACAACTACAATATCAAAGAAATGAGTATAAACAGTAAAGCATTTACCATACTGTTTTGACAAATCCAATGCGAGCAATAATTCCTTATGTTGACTTGTAACACATTCCAACATTAAATTGAACAATAATACTTTAAAATAAGGTGATTTCACAAAAAGAGCTCCTTTTGTTGTTCTTTGGTATGCCAAAAGTGACAGTAGTGCATGGAGATATGAAAAGTCTTCAAGTAAAGGAGCAACTTTGTTAATACAGTGAGATTACTCCTCTGCCCAAAGGTCATTTTTTTTAAGGCTCGACACATACAGCCTCAACTTCCCATCCCCCAGGCCCATCAAGACTGTGTGGGCCAAGTCTTTTGTGTAGATTAGATCCAGGGCATAAATCCATGCAATAAGCATGACAAATGCATCAGCAAATGGCTTCATGGCAACGAAGGCGGGGCTGCTAGCTACGGCTTCTTCTTTTTTTTTTGGCTAATGTTAGCTCATCTTTGTATGTATTTGGTGAAAATGATGCAGAATGGAGATGGCCAATGTTTATTAATTGGGATATCTACAGTAAAACATCGCAATGGGTGATTTTGTCAGCCATGGGAGATGGCACAGCTAAAGGTATCTCTTTGCCTGTGTTGCAGTACTTTGGGTTAAAACAAAACAAAATGCTAATGAAAGTGCAGGATTTGTAATGTAAATGGCAGATGATGAATCTTGCGACCATTTGCGTGTACACCGTCCTGCTACATTTCAGTCATTGATGTGAGAGCAACTGATAGTTTTAACAGTGACAATGTGTCATTCTGGAGTTTTGGAACTATAAAAAAGCACTCTAATTATTCAGTGGTGTTGCAGAGTGATCTAGCTTTACCTCGGCTAACTGCAAACAGTGTGTTATCTGTTTCTCCACTAGCGGCAGTGAGCCCACAAACCCGACAATGAGCATTTTGTCCTGTCATCAATTTAAGTCACTGAGTTAACTTTTGTTAGGGACAACTGATATGACCCCGCTGGTTGTCATTTTAACCAGAAACAGTGATGAGAAGCTGCTACTTGAATGATTACTACACTGAGCTTTGTTAATAAGGTTGTAGGTGTTACTGGCATGGCTGTCCTGTCAGTGGCCGGGGGTGGATTTTAATCACGATGGTGACTCACCATTGTGATAGGTGTCAGCTATCAATGATGGACAATGGCATCGCCCATTGCCTATCCCTAATGTTGAACAAACCAAAAAAGAATCCCGTTTCTTTAGTTTTGAAGCTTTGTATTCCAAATCTCACTTCTCCGTTCTCTTTAAGAACCACTCTTGCCTTTGTGTGTCTGTGTTGTGGAATGCTGGGGGGGGGTGTTTGACTTTGTATGCTCCGCAGGTGGTGTAAATGCAGCTATTACCTGTGAGGAGGTAAAATTACTGTAACTTTAATGACAACGTAATCAGCCCCTCAACTCGCTTATTACTGGGCATGTTTGATTTACATCATTTGAACTTTCACATTTCCCTAAGGGGACCGCCTGGGTTCAGCCACACCACTTGCACCCCCTGATGCTCAGTGCCACGTTTGATGTTTTTCTTCATGTGAGAAGGAAACCACTTACTTTGATAATATGTGGTCAATCTAAGTAATGCCAATTTAGACATTTTGTTCTAATGTTTTCATAGCTGTGAGTACTGGTTACCAGACCAAGCTTGCTTTATTAGCAGACAGCTGCATCTCATTCAGAGCAGACTAGTCATTTGGCAAGGACACCGGTGATCCATTTGCACACTGAGTATTGTGTGCTTCCGTCCTCTGGACTTGGGACTTCAGCTTAAGACTTATGAGGAAAGTGAGGTGCCCTTGGTGTAGGTTTGCACTCTGAGTACTATCTAGTTCTTTTATATATTTTATACACCTTTGATTTATAATAATACTGAGGCATTTATTTAAATAAATGAGTTTCAAACACCTCTGCAGTACATAACTGAATTCCAGGCATGTACAGTATATACAGTCACAAGTGAGTTTGAGGCTTCGAGAAGCAAATTGCTCTGGCAAAAACAGACTCAACACTTGGTGAAGTGGAGAAAAGCACTGCAGTCACAGGCTAGAATCAAGCTGCAGTGAAAGGGTTTGTCACATTGCACAACACATTTGTTAGAATTAGCTTTATTGGACAGTTGTATGTACACTGTTCTTACATAAAGCATCAAGTAGACAAGTAAACAGGTTGGAATGTACATTAGGAAAATCAGTATTTATAAAAATATGTATACTCACTTTAGATGCAGTTTTCCAGGTAGATATACACAAAAGTATATTTACAAGGTATTGCACTGGTTGTCGTTCTATTATACAGTCATCTTATAGCTCGTGATGTTTTTAAGGCTCTTCCACACAGACGTAGGGTCATGGGCTGAAACCTGAGCTTTCAGCTTTTCAGAGTAGCTCCTCTTTGCTGCTCTGATCTCCCTTGTCAGTGTGTTCCTGGCCTGGCTGTACAGAGTCCTGTCCCCACTTCTGTAGGCCTCTTTAGCACGACAAAGCTGCTTGAGTTTTACTGTGAACCAGGGCTTATTATTATTATTGTATGTGCAGAAGGGTTTGGTGGGCACACACATGTCCTCACAAAAGCTGATGTATGATGTCAGTGTCGGTGAGTTCAGGTCAGTAGATGCAGACTCAAATACACTCCAGTCTGTGCAGTCAAAGCAGATCTGTAGCTCTGACTTTGACTGCTCGGTTCATCTCTTCACTGTTTTGACTACAGGCTTCGCAGCTTTAAGTTTTTGCCTGTAGTTTGGAATAAGATGGACCATACAGTGATCAGACGGAGGGAGGGTTGTACAGGGAACAGAGCGGTAGGTTCTTTTATTACCATTTAGCAGTGGTCCAGGGTGTTTTTGTCCCTAGGGGGAACAGCTAACATGCTGTCTGTATTTGAGCAGTTCATAGGTGAGATTTGCTCCATTAAAATCTCCTAGAACAATGAGCAGGGTGTCAGGATGTTTCATTTCCACACTAGTTATCTGTTCAGCCAGGTGCAGTAGTGTGACAGTGTGGCAACCAGAAAGATTGATGAAAATTCTCTGAGAATAAAATGGTTTGCAATTGATGAAGAGTTTTCAAGTCTGTATTGCAAGTTCTTTTTAACACTATCATCTTTACACCAACCTTCATTTATGTAGAAGCAGATTGCACCTTCTCGTTTTCATGGATAACTCGTTTACGCGATCTGCTCTGTATACCCACCAGGGCAGCCATATGCAGCATGATGATGACCATCAGGGTTGTCACATGGAAAAGGTGCAATCTGGTTTCTTAAAATGAAAAAGTCGAGCCACTTCTGCTGATAAGTGATTGGAGACTGGTAAAAAAAAGAAACAGCATTTTTTTTTTTGCCTTCAGTTATTGATAGTTGACATGAGTGTCAGTCTGCACAAGCCCACTTGAGTGAAGTAACGTAGCAATGCTCTCTTGCTTCTGCACATCAGACTAATCACAATGCAAAGTGAGGGTGAATATAAGACTGTTGCTTTCAGAAAGTTACATAAACTAGTAGACACAGACACCTTTGTGACATTGGAAAGGTGTGTATACAGTGTCTATAAAAAGTATTCAATTCCTTGGATGTTTTACACTTTAATTGATTTTATAAATGAATCATGGTCAGTATAATTTGGCTTTTTGACAAAAAATAAATTAAAAAAAATCTCTAATGTGAAAGTGAAAATAGGTTTTTACAAAGTAATGTCAAATAAAAATATGCAATGTGAAATAAGTGACTGCATAAATATTCACCCCCTTCAAGTCAGTATTTAGTAGATGCACCTTTGGCTGCAATCACAGCACTGAGTCTGTGTGGATAGGTCTCAGTCAGGCTTGAACATCTGGACACTGCAATTTTACTCCATTCTTCTTTGCAGAACTGCTCAAGCTCTGCCAGGTTGCGCGGGGATCGGGTGTGAACAGCCCTTTTCAAGTCCAGCCACAAATTCTCTCTTGGATTGAGGTCTGGGCTTTGACTTGGCCACTCCAGAACACTCACCTTGTTGTCTTTAAACCATTTCTGCGTAGCTTTTGCTGTATGCTTCAGGTCATTGTCTTGCTGGAAAATAAATCCTCTCCCAAGCCGTAGTTCCCTTGCAGACTGAATAAGATTGTCCTCCAGGATTTTCCTATATTTTGCCGCATTCATTTTACCCTCTACCTTTACAAGCCTTCCAGGGCCGGCTGCTGAGAAGCATCCCCACAGTATGATGCTGCCACCACTGTGCTTCACAATGGGGATGGTGTGTTTGTGGTGATGTGCAGTGTTTGGTGTCCGTCAAAATAGCGTCTTGTCTGATAGCCAAAAAGCACCATTTTGGTCTCATCAGACCAAAGAACTTTCTTCCACTTGACCATGGAGTCTCCCACTTGCCCTTTGGTGAACTCTAGTCAAGATCTAATGAGTTTTTTTTTTCTGACTTATACTTTTCAATAACCTTTTTTCTGAGTTGCTTGGAGTGTTTTTTTTTTTTTTGTCTTCATGGTGTAATGGTAGCTAGGAATACTGATTAACCAGTGACTGGACCTCCCAGACACAGGTGTTTTTATATTACAATCACTTGAGACACATTCACTACACTCTGGTGATCCCCATTTCACTAATTGTAAGACTACTAGCACCTCTGTTGAATTAGGTCAGTCATTTTAATGGGGGGGTGAATATTAATGTAATTACTTATTTCACTGACAGAGGTTTTCTTGTAATTTTTTTCATCAAAAAAGCCAAATTATGTTACCCACGATTGATTTATAAAATCAGTAAAAGGGGATGAATACTTTTTATAGGCACTGTATGTAAAGAGGAAATCTGATGCCTTATCCAACCATCTTTTATGCGTTTTGGACAGACCATAAATCCCACTTAAGGTCTTTTTCCTCTTCTTTAGGTGGTGGGTATGGAGTGTTTTCACATCTTTTTTTTTCACTTCTTTTCCTCTCTACAGTTGACCATGTGGTGTCCTGCAATCCTGTTATTTGTTGATTGAACTTAGTGAGAAAAGGGGGGCAGCGATTTGAAGCAATGCATATTCCTGCTAATATTAATACAACTTGTCTTGTCAGTGAAAATGCATAGGGTTATCAATTGCGATCACGATCTAAAAACTATTCATCTGGCCCTAAGTTTAAGTTCTGGGCAGTGGAAATCACGACCAGCTTGACCGGTGGCCCTGTACCTGTTCAGATGAGTGATTGCTATGCACTACAGTACCTACATAATACATTGTGTTTTTTTGATTAAGCTGGATACTTCAGCCTCTATGTGTTAAAAATATTTTTGTTTTCTTCTCACAGATATCTGCAAATTTATAACTATGGAAGAAGACTTCACAATACCTCATGATTCTGACAAAAACAGCAGCATATCAGTGATAGAGGATGAAAAAGAAAAGGTAAAGGACTTTGCGTATAAACCTTTCAGAGAAGTGCCAGATGGGTCACTCTTGCATAATGCAGAAGAATCTTCCATTAAGGAACATGGGAGTTCCACCAAGAAAGATAAACAATCTCTCAATAAATCCCAATGTAAAATTCAGCAAGGAGCCGTTTTCTCTGGAAAGATTCTGAGTTTTGGATGCTCTGTTTGCAAAGACGATTCCACATATAGCCCCAACGATCTCCTTAAACATTTTAAAGCAGCTCATAAAGGAATCCTTCCTACATACCCTTGTGAACTTTGCAGTTTTGTCACAAATGAGTTCCCTGTCCTTCAGCGCCATCGGATTGAGCACAGGAATACTCTTGTTACATGTGAACTCTGCAGCGATGATGTTCAGTACTCTCTGCTTTTGCTTACCAGACATTACATCATGTGTCACAGTCTAAATGGACAGTTTAACTGTGACTGGTGTGAGTTCACCACTTTGGATGCAGGAACATTTGTCCAGCACATCCATCATCATAATGAGAGTCCTTGGAAGTGTTCCAAATGCAGACATATCAGCTTGAATGAAGATGATCACCAGAAGCATGTGAAAGCTCACTCGGGCACGTTTCCCTTTACTTGTCAGATGTGTGGATATGGTGCAGCAAGAGAGGAGTACCTGAAAAAACACACCGCAGCTGTTCACAAAGAGGAGACTGAGAGAAGGCATCCCTGGAAGGCTGTAGATGATAGCAGCACTCCAGCAAATTCGTCTGCAAGCTTAAAACTTATAAGAAAGAATAGTGAATCACAGGAGACTCAGAGGATATCAAAACTGAACTGTCTCTCTGGGAGTTTACCGAACCAGAATGGCAGGCTAAGCAAGCCAGAGTTAGGCCTGTCTTTAGAGGGCACCCACTACTTTGTGGATGGGAATGTAGTAAGTAAGGACAACAAAAATTGGAGCAAATGCACTAATAACGCAGAACAATCAACACCAGTGATGTTACAGGAATGCGACAACTCTGCAAGCTCTGATACTGCAAGTCACAGCAACCCTAATGGACTGACTGTTCTGATGGTAAAGAACAAAATTTCTCTCCCCCCTAACTGTACAACCAAAGTGATGGGATTCAAAATGGTCGATGGTAAAAAGCACTTAGTTCTCAAAGTAATACCAACAGCAAAGCAAGACTCATGCACTCAGAAGCATTCCTCAGTAGAAGAAGTGGACTCCTCAAAAATAAATTCTGTGTTGGATAAAAGTAACATCTTTATTGAGAATGGGGAATGCTCTCACAGCAAGAGCCCAACAGCACATTGCTTTGCCACTTTGCCAAGAGATGGATCTTGCACACAGATGGATCAAGAAGAAATTATGGCAGTAAAAGTAAAGATTGAGGAGGAAGAAACCTCTGTGCACAACTTTGATCCCACCCCACATAGAAATGATGCAGGTGACCAAACTTATTCTTTACTAAATAGATCTTCAGCTTGTGCAGATAGGTCAAGTCCCACGACAAACAAGTTTGATCTTGTGTGTGACCAAAGTCAACCAAGTCAAAAAACCTGCTCAGAGAAAAGTGCATTTGATAACTCAGTCTCTGCAATATTTACCTTGGATTCGACCAGCTATTGTGATTCTCAAGCCAGTGTTACTTCAACAGTATGTTCTGGTAACCTAACCGGTTTATCTAAAGTTTCAAAAGTTGTTCAGGAAACAGTGGTTTCCAGACTAGTCTCCAAAATATCTACTGAGAACCATGGGGCCGTAGATGAGTTTTCATTGACTGATACAGTAGCAGATACAATCACTCACGAACACAAAGGGAGCGCTTGTTTTAACAATATAGAAAATGATGAACAGTCTTCTCAGAATACTGCAGAAAATACTGATCGAGTTAGAACAGAGACTGAACATAAAAATGGCAGTCAAAATTTTAAAAACATTTCAACAGATCCTGTACTGGCATCAGAGTCATCCACACTCAATTCAGGTAGTGACAGAGAAAGTGTCGTGGACTTTGAAAACTGCACACACAGTTCACCAAACCAAGAAGTATTTTCCTTTCACAACTATTCAAAGGAAATGTTCTCTACTTCACCTAACACTACCCAAAGCTTTTGCAGTATGTCCAGACACTTAGCAGATGAAACTGCTTGTGAATCATCACAGTTTAGCCTGTCACTGGCAGAATCTCCACAGTCGTTTATGGAAAGTAGCAATGGAGAAGACTCAATTCAAGAAGAGAGTCGCGAACACAAGAAAATGTCAGATAGTGACGTTGAACTTGATAAATGTACATCTAATGTTGATGATCCTCTCACTGAAAATGAAAATGCTGAGTCAGTGCTTCAAGACTTTAATATTATAAAAATTGAGGAGGAGAACATTCCTATACCTAAAAAACAGTCAGAAACAAAGAATAGTTCAACTTCTTTGGGCAGTTTTTTGGAAGAACATTCAGATGTAATAATTAACCAACAACTCAGTAAGGAAAGAGGACGATCTTTGAGTGCAAGCAATGATTCTTCTTCAAAACAAGCAAAAACAATACGAATTCTTCAGTTGCCAGAGGGTAAGCAGCCACTACTCCTGAGGACTACTGAGAATCGATTTGCCATGCCAGTGCAGGTCAAGGCCACACCAGGTTTCAAACTGATAACTAATTCATCAAATCCTCAGATCAATGTATCCTACATGAAGCCATCAAATAACCCTACTAATGTAACCCTTGCTCCAAACAGCAGGAGGTTAGGTGCATCAGTACCAGTGGCGGGGGCTTCTGAAAAAGGGACAGGTTTTCTCTCTGCTGTTCAACCAGGTGTTAGTACCTCTAATCACTACCTTATCAACAGCCCAGTTTTTAAGGGACCTGTACTGCTTTCAAGCACACCACATAGTACAGCTTCGGAAAAAATCGCAAAGACACAGCCTACCTGCTACTTGGTACAGAGGTCTGTTCCATTTGTTCAGACCCCAATTAATCCTGGCCTCAAACTGGCAAGTACACAGTTCCCCCCGAACTCACGACCAGTTATTGCCATGCCAATGAGCTCTACAGACAAACCCAGCACTCTGCAACCTGGCCGCCAGGCATTCTTGCTCCGGTACATTTCTCCATCCAAATCAGGCCTACTTCTGAACAACCAAGACACAAAGACTGGCGCTCATTGTGGCCAAGCCAGTGAAAGTACTGGAAACAAAGTCATATTTAAAATTGTTGCTCCTACCGGTAGCCTTCTTACAAGTGGTGCACCCACATCAAGTAGTCAGCCTTTGTTTTTGGCCACCAGACCTCAAACCCAGTGTTTTCTAGTGTCACCAAACAAAAGTAATGGAAATGCCTCCAATGGAGTCAAGAAATTGATCACCACACAAAATATGGCACAGAAAGATGTGAGAGATTCTTGCATTTTGCCCTCTCACATGAATGTAAAGTTACAACTGGGTGAAGCAGAAAGACCAATTCTAGCCCCAAGGCCAATTCGGCCCCCAAGCCAAAGGAAAAGGCGCAGGAAACCAGTATTTGATGAGCTTCCAGCAACAATGCATAAAACTAGAAGACTTGCAAATAAAGTTCTGCCTGAGAAAGAGACTTCTGTGTTATGGAGGCCTGTAGCCAAAGAAGTTGAAAGGACACTGAGACTTGCCCCATTCAGTTGTGAACAGCTGATCAGATGTCCTCATAGATACCAACCTGTAGTGGTGCTCAATCATCCAGATGCTGACATTCCAGAAGTGGCTAATATCATGAGGGTTGTTAACAGGTACAAAGGTGCTGTTACTAAGGTCTCTCTGTCTCAGAAAACAATCCAGGCACTCTCTGAGCTTGATGCACTAGCAAAGAATTCCTCAGCCAAAGCTGTGTCGTCTCAGAGGAACGATCCTAGACCTCGGCCAATTGAGAGTTCTGTCAGAGAGCGATTCCTTTTGAAACTGAAATTAAGGAAAAAGAGCAAAAAAAAGTATGAGGTCGTGGAAGCTTTATCGGGTTGTAGACAAGCATCTGTGGTGTTTGACTGTTGGTTTTGTGGTCGGCTTTTCAACAGCCAAGAAGACTGGATTGGCCATGGCCAGCGGCACCTCATGGAGGCAACCAGAGACTGGAATAAACTGTTCTAAAAGTCAGTCACCTTTCAATAGCTTGATATTCTGCCCTTTTGAGGTGGAACAGATTGAAGTTGTATATTTTTAATGACCTTCCACTATATGCTTATTAAGTCTTTGTTCATGTAAGTACATTTTCTTAAGAAGTTTTTCTTTTCATAGGTGCTAGCATGATTTGCATCATGTATGCACAGGTCAAACTGAACTGTGAAAATGGTACACTGTAATTAGGAGTTTTGGTAAAAGCACTGGCATAAAAAAATGGGACAATATCAGCAAAGGTTGTATGCAGACTTGGACAAAATTACTCAGGTGATTTCATATTAAACTAGTATGCCATTTTTGCTTATACATTTAATAAACTAAGGCCTTGTATAAGGGACTTTAGTATATTTTACTATCCTGCATATCAGGACAAGAAATAGTATTTGTATAGCTTATGTCTAAAACTTGTAGACAAATTCAGTTTGCAATTGTGATGAAAACACATGGTCTGGTCCAAAATATTCCTTTTTTATGTGGTGTTTTAATTAAATGGGGTATCATTTTATACTACTCTGTTATCAACCTGCAGCATGCATTTGTTGTAATTAGAGCTTGAGGTTCTTCATGATAATCGCTTTATGCCCAGTTCAGGCTACATGATGTTTTTTTTGCCTGATACGATGGTCACTATCCGTGGGTTTTCTTCGGGTACTCCGGCTTCCTCCCACAGACCAAAGACATGTAGCTTAGGTTGATTGGTGGTTTTAAATTAGCTGTAGGACTGAGTGTAAGCATGTGTGGTGGTTTGTCTACATGTTATCCCTGTAGACTGGTGACCTGTCCAGTGTTAGCCGGGATTGGCTCCAGCCCCCCGTGACCCTATTCAGCAATAAGCAGTATAGACACTGGATGGATGGACTTTGTGTCCGAATGCCATGAAGTTTCCCAGATGCAGTACTGGTTGTCATTTATCATGACACACTATACGAGATGAAACGATCGATTGTCATCGTCATTGTTGTCGGGCTTAAATCATGTAGTCTGAACCGGGCATTAGTCTGCAAAGTGTTGCAGTGACAAATGATTTTATAAAATGCTATATTAAGCAGGGATGCTTCTCTGATTATTGTTGATACTTGAGGAGAACAGATCAGCTCATAATACACCCTATGCAGTATATTCAAAGTAAATGTCAGCAGCTCTGACTGTTTGCTTGTACTCATGTTGTGGATCATGTGACTCCACATTTGGGTTGTGAATTTAATGATGAGCTTAAAGTTCCCATAAATTTGCTTAAAATTGTTTTGTAGATTATAATGTGTCGTGAAAGATGCTGGTACAAGATCTTAACATCAAGAAAGGCTTAATATGAAAGTGTCAGAGATTCTTACCTTTAAATTGTTCTTGGTTCAATAAAATGTTTATTAAAAACTTTGAGTTGATTTTTTAATAGTTGGTTCATTGTTTTTCATACTTTGTAGACATTTTAGGTGTAGTAGGGAGCCCTGAATGTGACCCATTTATTTCACTTTTTATTGCCTTGTTGTACTGTAAACCTGTTCACTGGCATCAAGTTCAAGAATGCTGTACATACTGTACATTTATTTTAATGTTGCATTTAAAATAGTTTTTAAAAATGCAACAGGACATGGATTTTATTTTCTTCGGGAATTGTAATGATTGTATTGCATGATGTTGAACCATGGAAATGAATGTTTTATTCCATTCAATATGCAAAGGTTTCTTAACAATGCAAGCCATGTTTTTTTTTTCTTTTCAAAAAGGTTGTAAATGGCTGGCCTCCAGGTTTTGACCTCAACAGGATTCATTTTCCACCAACATTTGCGAAATGTTTAAATCAGCTGCTCCAGTCAGCATCAGGGCTTTTTATTCAGTTTGGTTAATTATCTGATATCATTTCCTATGGAACACACTGTATATAAATGTAGCAGTAGTAGCCCCCCTTCACTGATATTTGTGAGTTACTAATGAAACCAAAAGTGGTGACCTGTCCAGAGTGTGTCCCACCTCTCGCCCAATGACCCTCTGAATAAGTGGTATACTGTAGATAATGGATGGTTAATGAAATAAAACATTAACTTTCATTTAGCTCGGTGTGCTTTGACATGGTCTTCTTTAAAAGGAACTGTTCAATGTAGAACATGGAAACAAACACTGAAGAAGGCTGTCATTTAAGTCTGTGTTGTGTACAGAGCTGGAGTCAGGACATGGTTAGCCTAGCTTACATTAAAGACTGAAGGCAGGATATTAGGGCTCTGTCCAAAGTACACCCACCGACACCTGTAAAGCTCCCTAAACTTGCTGTATCTGCTTCATTCATTCACATGCAAACAGGACTGTAAAAGCTGAGCTGAAGTATTGTGAGGATGGCCATGCACCATATATTATAACTCTTCCTTAAAACAAACAAACCTAGCTAGCTCCAAAAAGCTAACTCCCCTGACAACACTGAAGCCCTTTTTTAAAGAAAAACTGTGTTGTTCTGTTAACTTTAGTAATAACACCAAACCAATGAGAACCTTTATCAAATTTGTCATTTACAATTCAGGTTAAATTTACAAGTGAAGCTAGTGGTTTTGGTTTTATGGGCATATTTATGGCATGATATTTAGTCTGCAAAACATTTAAAATAAGAGTTCACAGCTTGTAAAATGTATACTTATTTGTTTTAAACATGTAAGTTGTGTCCCAACCTGAAATATTAATGTGGTTAATATTTCCTTTTTTAAAATCAAGGGCTACATTCTAAAATGCTGCTTGCTTAAGGTGATTTAAAAGTACATAGGATAAAGGATTTAATTTTGTCATTGAACTTTTATATTCAGAGATCTTCATTTTTGACATAATGACAATATGTTGACCATATTTCTTTTGTCATATGGTCTAACAAGTTAAATACAAGGCAGGTGAAATTGAGCGTGTAGTACATCCTTAATGTAGTCATTATACACTGCTCTAGTCAGCCTACCTACTCTTGGATGGCGTAATTCCCAAACCCCCATATTAACGGCTTGAATTGATCATAGCTAAATGGATGCAAACACCAAATGAATTCCAAGTTTCTTTTTGAGAGGTTTATCTTTGTTTCTGGTCCATGTGGTTTCATTTAAATTGTAGACCTTCATATCTTTGCTGAATCTTTCCTCATGCTAAGTGCCTCAAATGTCCTTTGGCAGGTTGACACTTTGTGTACTGTAATCTTTTGTTCAACTTAGTTAATTTTTCTTTAATAAATGTATGTATTCAGTGGAAAGAATACTGTTTTGTTTTTCCTTGTAAACATTTTAAAATAAATGCTTAAAGATTATCACAAATGTTGGTATATTTGTTAGTGATATAGTTTTTATATGTTTTATACTTGATTTGGGATGTAGGTTATATAGTGAGGTCTTTCCACTGTATGATGGTGGTGATGATGCTGAAAAGATCCACAGGAGGGCAGCACAAGACAATGCCAAAGGATTTGCTAGTTGCGTTTTATTCAGATGATAATTTTTGCATTTAGTACTTTCCATGACATACTCTGGATAATTCTGAATTCTCTAGAGCAGCCTTCTTTGAAGTGATGAGAAAGTTGAGAGTATGATTTCCTAAAAAAACAAAAAAGAGAAAGGGAGAGAAACTTGATCATATGTAAGGTCCCATGTTATCACGTGTTCAAGACTAAGTTAATGTAATATCACATGGGATAGTGCATGTTTTTAGAACAAAAACTTATGTTCTTAAAATTACAAAAGAAATTCTAAGAATTTTATACAGGGAGAACATAAAAGCCACACTGCATGTTAAAAAGAGCTGGTAAGAGTGAAGTATATACAGGTGCAGCTCAATAAATTAGAATATTGTGGAAAAGTGCATTTATTTTAGTAATTCAAATAGTGAAACTCGTGTATTATATAAATTCAGTACACACAGACTGAAGTAGTTTAAGACGTTGAGTCTTTTAATTGTGATGATTTTGGCCCACATTTAACAAAACCCCACCAATTCACTATCTCAATAAATTAGAATACCTCATAAGACCTATAA